CAACCCTTGCAAACCCTCCGAGCTATACGGCTTCAACCTCTATCTATCTAACCGTATCTCTGCTCCTCCGCGGGGATCACCGCGAGCTACTTAGATTTTAAGTCGAAACATTTCGTGCCGACCCTGCACCTGGCTATAATTCTTTCGGTCTTTCTAACCAAACGGAGATGCTACAAATTTTAACTCGCTCTGAAATTTTACCTCGAGAAAATTTTAGAGCACCTGTAATTTATTGGTTGGGAAAAGTGCGGTTTGTTTGCGGGTAATCTCTCGGAGTGGATTTATGAGGAAAGTTGTGAATTTGTGAGAAGGTTGTGGAAAAGGATATGTAAGAAGGAGGTTGAGAAAATTGAGTCTTTGGAGACGGGATGTTTGGAAACTTCGAAGCTGAGACTTTACAGTGTTTACAGACCACAGAATTTTCAAAGTTTGACATATATTAATTTACGAATTATGAATAAAAGTTGAAAAGTTCAGAAACAGAAGTGAAGAGGTACTCCAAAGTACTACAACTTAACAATTCATAGATGTAGAAGCTCTCGGATTCCAAACAGCTCTAAATTCCCCGAATCGAAGACCTCAAAAATTTCAAGATACCAAAATTTCCAAACTGATCAAACTCGAATCCAATATTTCAAAATAAAATAGCAGTGTTCTAAAATAGATTTTCACTATTCCAAAATAGAACTGCAGTATTCTAAAATTGTTAAATGAATGGTTCATTTCTCAATAAAAATAAATACACTTGTACACTCTTAATATACTTTATGAACAAAATAATAGAACTTTATTTGATTATTAATGAGGATTATTATTATAAACGTCGATGACGCGCACCACAGCAAAACACCTCTTCATGGTGACCGTACGACATATTCGCAACGCGAAATTCATTTGTTCCTTCCAAACGCATCCAAAATTCCATACATATCAATAAAAATATCAAAATTCTAAGCCGTCCTCGAGAAATTCATAGAAGCAACTGTTCCAAAGCCCCAAAGTCGAAACCCAGCAGAAGAGCAGCAAAAGAGAGAGCAAACGAGTAAACAAACTAGAAAATAAAAAAGCTGGAAAGAGGAAAATCTCGGACAGAATAATTTGTCAGGGCCAATGGCGACCACGATACCGGCAACCTGACTGTTGCTCTTCGTTGTCGCCGATTTCCGATTGTTTTTTTAAAGCGCCGGTCGCCGAGGACATTAATTACCCGGCCAGTGTAAATCACGTTATCTACTGGCCACGTTCATTCCACCCTCTCCCTTCTCTCTCTCTCTCTCTCTGGGAAGAGAGGAGAAGGCTAGAGCGAAGTAAGGGTGGAGGGAGGTGAGTTGCAGGAGGGTTGCACCGCTGGCAACTGAGCAAAACGGTCGACGACTGCTCTCCATGGCCACACCAATATCCTGCTTACTTCTCGGAAATTTATCGACTATCGCATGAAAACTTTACGCGCTCCTTTCGATCACGAAACACTGCTTGTGTTCCGCGTTCCCGCTGAAAATACGCTGCCGTCGATTTATATTCCGCCGGTGTTTTATGGATTCCGTGTTAAACGCGCTGTCGTTCGTGCAAATCACTCTTTGGCGCGAAAATTTAAATTCCCGTTGCATCTTGGACATTTCGATGCGGTGGTGTTTGGAGATATAGCGACTTGGGGAATTTGGGATTTGGGAGAGACAAGATTTGGGTAACTTGGAATTTGGGGAACTTGGAATTTGGGGAATTTGAAATTTGGGGAATTTAGAATTTGGGGAATTTGGAAATTGGGAAATTTGGAATTTGGGAAATTTAGAATTTGGGGAATTTGGAATTTGGAAAATTTATAATTTGGGGAATTTGGAAATTAGGGAATTTGAAAGTTGGGAATTTAGAATTTGGAGAATTTGGAATTTGGGAAATTTGGAATTAGGGGAATTTAGAATTGGGGAAATTTGGAATTTGAGGAATGTGGAATTGGGGGATTGTGAAATTGGGGGAATTTGGAATTGGAGGAATGTGGAATTTGGTACATTTGGAATTGGGGGAATTTGGAATTGGAGGGATGTGGAATTGGGGGAATTTGGAATTTGGGACATTTGGAATTGGGCGAGTTTGGAATTGGAGGAATATGGAATTGGGGGAATGTGAAATTGGGGGAATTTGGAATTGGGGAAATTTGGAATTGGACAAATGTGGAATTGGGGGAATGTGAAATTGGGGGAATTTGGAATTTGGGACATTTGGAATTGGGGGAATGTGGAATTGGGAGAATGTGAAATGGGGGGAATTTGGAATTGGGGGAATTTGGAATTGGGGGAATGTGAAATTGGGGGAGTTTGGAATTGGAGGAATGTGGAATTGGGGGAATGTGAAATTGGGGGAATGTGGAATTGGGAGAATGTGAAATTGGGGGAATTTGGAATTGGGGAAATTTGGAATTGAGGGAATGTGGAATTGGAGGAATGTGGAATTGGGGGAATGTGAAATTGGGGGAATTTGGAATTGGGAAAATTTGGAATTTGGGAAATTTGGAATTTGGGAAATTTGGAATTTGGGAAATTTGGAATTTGGGGAATTTGGAAGTCAATGAATTTAGAATTTGAGGAATTTAGAATGTAGAGAGTGTGAAATTTGGGGAATCTAGAGAATTTGTGGAATTTGGAATTTGGAAAGTCTAGGGAATTTGGGGAATCCAAGGAATTTGGAATTTATGGAATCTAGGGAATTTTTGGAATTAGAAATTTGACGAGTCTAAAGAATTTGGGGAATCCAAGGAATTTATAATTTGAGTAATTCAGGGAATTTGTGAAATCCAGTGAATTTGAGGAATTTGGGATTTGTAAAATCTAGGAAATTTCGGGCCTTGAGGGGTTAGGATATTGAAGGATTTGAAGAATCAGAAGAATTAGTGGAATTTGGAGAATCTGAAGAATTTGAGGAATTTGAAGAACCTGAAGAATTCGCGGAATACAGATTTGGGGAATTTGTCTGAAATGTGATTTGAGAAATTTGTAATTTAAGGAATTCAAAATTTGTTACATTTGATACGTGAAATATTAAACTAGTAATATTAAAGAATTTGATATATAGAAGATTATTCGCTCCCAATAGAACATACTAAAGTCTTCACACCTCCATAATATAAAAGCCAATATTAGCTCATAGTTAACGTGGCCAAATCGAGCCCAAGTTACGGTGAATTATCCCGTAAGTCGACGTGAGAAAAATGGAACCGGCTGAATACACGAACAGCAGAGAGCAGCGTAGATCGAAACGTTCGATTAGATGGTTGATTTCGTCAAAGTCGTGAGAAAAACAGTGACTCAGAGTAATTGTCCCGACCAATCGCGTTAACCTTTCGATTTGACGTGGTATTAAAGTCGAGGCAAGTAAATCCAGCGAACAAGTTGCTCGGCGGAACGACGTTTCCGATGTTAATCGCGGGTCACGCAACTACTTACGCGTGGAAAAGCACACGCGACTTGATTACGTGCAAGCTCGTGTTGGAAAGAGATAAACCATCCCCTTAATTAATATTCCAACCGAATCTTCTGTTTCATTTTAATTTCAAATTTCTTTCTTCGACCGACGTTCGAGCCGAATCGCGTGACGATACGTCGTTCGCGGCTTATTATTAACGCGCCAATTAAATTCGTATGCGGAATCGTTTATTAAAATTTTTAGCAAAGGGAGTTTGCGAGTATCAGTCGGCATTTTGTATGGCGATGAAATTTTTGGCGGAACAATATTTTTATTTATGTTAGTGTGGACGAAGAATAGGGTGACTCATATAGACACCTTTATATACACATCTATCATGTGTGGAAAGGACTTTGTTCGAGAACGACAATTTAAAATGTATCACTGTCTTTCCTATTTCTTCAGTTACATCTACTTGTGATAGTATTGATCAAAATATGTCACGATTATAAAACAGTTCCATCCACATCTATATGTGGAATAACATATACACTACCGTCCATAAGTATCCGGACACAAGCGAAATATGCATTCGCGTTGCATGAAAGTTATTCAAGTATCTGCAACAGTAACTAAAATCGATATTTTTTCTGCGAAGGTCAGAATACTGGAACGTTTTTCGATTGATAATTCTCGTTTGGAACTCATATCTCGATGGAAAAGAAGCTACAGACGAACTAAACCGAAACTGTCGAGTGCGTAGCGTTACCTCCATTCTTATCTCCATTGAGGGAACCTAAACATCTACCAACAGTTTACAAACACTTGAAACATATCGAAGAACCCTCTGAATACGTTCTGCACCATAGAAATGAAACACAGTAGAAATGAAAATTTTTTTTAGAATCGAAAGCGTTTCATTAGATTCACAAATTTGGACTTTGTACTTCTGGACATGAATTTTACTTTCACACTCTCATTGTATAATTTGTACTTAAAAATTAATTCTATTACGTTATGACACCTCGAAAAAGATAATAATAATTATTACAAATGATATGATAACCCTAAATACCTTTCGTACAAAGTTTAACTATGTTTTATGTAACGAAACCAAGTGTCCGGATACTTATGGACGGTAGTGTAAATATGAACATTCATATGTAACATTCATACGAACACTTATAGAGAAAAAACGAGTTCGTTGAAAAAAGACACTGTAACCCCTTGCCTCATCAGTAGGTGCGTCAGTCGGAACTAACCGATCACATGCAATATTAAAACCGAGAAGAAAAATTGAAATACGTCAGTGTCATATGCAGTACTTGACTATGCAAATTATAATTGTACTCAATTTCCAAATCAAAGCGTGTTAAAAATCTGAGCAAGATTTGTCGCAGTTAAACCATAAGTTCGCCACGTGTGAATAATATAAGGCAAAGGGTTAACACGTGACTACCTTCCTCTTCAGTCACAATCTATGACTTCTAGTAATAATAAGATAATAATTATCTGTGATAATAATTATCTGCCATAATTATTACAATAATTATACTAGTATAACAAAATGGAAGAGCGATAGTAAAGTGATCGATTAGACTCACCGGTAATGGAGGCGGTGGGCGAAATGGCGGATGGATTGGCACGTGGTGGCGGTGAGAAAGCACCGGACAAATATCCACCGCGATCTGCGAGGGCTTGTTTAGCTTTGTCGACGCTTTCTTTCAATCTTTGAAAGGTGCTACCACAGGTTAGACCGCGATATGGCCAATTTTCTTGTTTGACACCGGCCGCGGTTACACCTGCGGCCGCGG